ACCCACAGCTCTGAATCTGCCCAACTCTGCACTTGGCAGTATGGCTTTAGGTCATTTACTTAATCCAACCAATTCCTCATCTCCAGGCAAGCGATAATAAGAGTGTCCTCTCTTTTTTTATTTGTTTGTTTTTGTTTTTTCGAGACAGAGTCTCGCTCTGTCACCCAGGCTGGAGTGCGGTGGCGCAATCTTGGCTCACTGCAACCTCTGCATCTCAGGTTTAAGCGATTCTCCTGCCTCAGCCTCCCAAGTAGCTAGGACTACAGGAACGTGCCACCATGCCCAGCTAATTTTTGTATTTTTAGTAGAGACGGGGTTTTGCCATGTTGGCCAGGCTGGTCTCAAACTCCTGACCTCAAGTGATACACCCACTTCAGCCTCCCAAAGTTCTGGGATTACAGGCATGGGCCACCATGCCTAGCAAGAGTGCCCACTCTTAAGCTGTCAGGGAAAACACACGCCAAGCCATTGGCACCATGCCTGGCACAATCACCACTCCCCATAAATGGCAGCTTTATTCAGCACACGTCCCTTGGACATCTGCTGTGTGCCAACCAGGGGAGCCTTTACAGGGAGGCTCAGAGGCGTAGAGGAGCCTCCCCGAGTAGGGACTGCGTGTGCTCATGGGGGTGAGGGGTGCTTGGGTGGGTGAGGTACTCGTGCGCTGGCCTCTGTGGATGCACACATCAGTTCCCAGGTCTGTGCAGTGAAGATCCCTGGCATGGAGGATGGAAGGCGAAGCTCCAGCCCTCTCTTCCTGACCCTGTGTTTCTCACAAGAAACCCCAGTGATCTGAGCTGAGAACCAGTGCCACAGCCTGCCCATCGCTTCTTTGCCTTGCTCATGTAATTGTCCAAAATTCTCTCTCCGTTCCACGTCTCTCATTCTTTAGGACTCAATGCTAGTGCCACCTCTTCCAGGAAGTCTTCCTCTAGGGGTGGGATTAGGTGCCTCCCTGTACTCCCGCACTTTCCTGGTTATTGAAATGATCCTTGAGTGTCGGAAGGCAGGAAACCTGGGCTCCCTTTGCACTCTCTCCCTGAAACCTTGCTCAGCAAGTGTGTTGACCTGGCCTGAACACCCCGCGCTGGTCTCCCGGGCAGCTCAGAGCACCTGTCCCCACCCCTCGCCAGCTCAGCTCCAGCTCATCTGGTGGAGGGGCACAAGGGCTCCGTTGTGTGCTAGAGGGGACAGGAATAGGGTGATGCTCTCGAGGGTGGGGCGGGGGTTGGAGCACAGACAGATGGAACCCAGACAAAGCCCTCTTTAAGCGGGGATCATGGCAGCTGTGCTGACTGTACTGCAGGAGCCTGGTTAGCTAAAGGAACCAAATGCCCAGGACGCCATGAACTTGGCAGTGTCTGAAGGTCACGGGTGGGATGGGCATTGGTGCATGCCGCTCACCCTCCCTGGCACTGAAGGCCCCTCTCCCAGGGGGTGCTCCTCCAGCCACTGGTCCTGCCTGTGTCCACAGGAGACCGCTGGCATTGAGATAAGAGTGGGAGCAGCTGGCTGGGTTCTGGTTGCATCCCATAGGAACCTGTACTGGGGAACTTGGAGCCAGGTTTTACCTTCAGTCGGGTCTGACACTAGAGCAGGGCTCATGCTGCTAGCTTTGGGGCCTGGGACAGGGTCCAGATCCTGGAAGAGGCTCACTGTGACCACCTAGCTTTTGGCCAGCTGGCAGGGAGCCTGAATGAGTGGCCTCATTCTTTTCTCCACACAAAGCCCCCTGGTCCATCCTATCTAGAACTCTCTCCTGTAGCTGGCTGACCTGGAATCCCATCTGATTGGGAAAGAGTTCCACATGAGGCTGCCAGGGTCAGGCCTCCTGGAAAGCCGCCTCCCTCTCCCCTCCTCCACTGAGAATCCCAGAAGGGGCCTTGCCAGATACCTGACAGTGATAGGTTAGTTTCGATGCAATGAGCACAGGTATGAGCCTACGCTAGGAGTCCAGGTGGGGAAGGAAGGGGGTTTGACCCAGGGCACACGTAGAATGCTGCGGGAGTCTGTTGGGAGCCCCAGGGCTGTCATCCTCCTGGGACTGGGCGTCCTAAATCCGTGAGCTCGATCTGGGTGAACCCAGAGGGACCTACGAGGACCTCCTGGATACACGGAGCCCGGCTGTGTTCACAGCTCTGCTGCCTGCTGCTCCCTCACCACCTCTCCTCACCCCGGAGCGGCCACCCTTCATGCCTTGTCTGTTCCCAAGCCCTTTTTGGGACTGTCACCAGCCCTGGCTCCCCTGCTGACCCAGGAAGGGAGCATAGCCCCTGTCTCTGCTTCCATGGGGCACCCCTATAACAGCCCACCCTCCTCAGTGCCCTGCCCGCTGTTAGGACTCGGTTTAGCTCCTTGGACAGTATCTTATCCCCGGTTGAATTAGGTCAGGCTAATGCGCACTGTGGGTGTTGGGACTTCCTGGAATTATAGGAACTACTGAGGAATAGGATGGGAACTCCCCTACCTACCCTACCCCACAAGGCCCCCCGTGGGAGTAGGGGTGGAAGTGTGTGCGTAAGAGGTGGTTTAGGAGGGTAGGCAGAGTGCCAGCCAGGATCCAGACAGCCAGGCCCCAGTCCTGGCTCTGCCATTTCCTAGCAACATGACTTTGTGCCTCAACTTCCCCGTCTGAGAATCATCATCGTGATGACTCAAGTTGAAGGGTTCAGTCACGATGATCATGGTGATTCTGTGCTGGGAGGAAGGGGCTGGAAATGAAGGCTGCTCGTGCCCTACCTCCCTCGCCCCCTTCCCTCCCACTGAAAGAGGGGACCCATGAGATGCCCATGCTGGCTGAGGCTGCCGTCATGCACTCTGTTCAGCACCCATGGCCCCAGGGAGCGTCCTCCCTTCTCATGAAGAGCACAGTGGTGGCTCGTTTTCCCCTGGCTGGCATGAGCCAGGACCCCAGGGAGCCCAGGCACCCCCAGGCACAGAGCAGCATTTAGAGGTGCCAGCTGCTTCTCAGGGGGCACCTCCACGGTGCAGTGGTTGGGGGTGGTGCATGAGAAGGACAGGGACTATGGTCCAAAGGGACCTCAGGCAGGTGCAGGACCCGTGGAATCCCAGTGACCTTCTCCATGGTGAGGGTGGGGTTGTGGGCCTTGACTTGATGGCAGAGTCATGGGTGCAGGGAGCAGGTGGCCACTCTCAGGCTCCACCCCTGCCCTCTTAACAGCCCCTTGAACAAAGACTGTTGAGCTCTTGGCACATGCCCGGCCCTGTGCCCAAGCACGTTACACGTTGTTCCAGGGTCTTCCCAGCCCTGCAGGTGGATCACGCTGCTGTCCCTTCTGACAGAGGAGGAGACGGAGGCTCAGGCAGGTTACACCCAGGCCCGACTGCCAATAAGAGGTCACAAGGGCCTCAGCGCCTGCCCTGATTCTCCTCTGCTGCCCCTGCTCCCCTCATCCTAAATCCTCCAAACTCAAGCCCTCCCACGCATCTTTGAATGTCTCCTGTTATTTCCACGAGTCTGGCATTGACTCTGTCCCCACCCCTACCCTAGACTAGGGCCCCCAGCAAGGATGCAGCCTCCTTCCTCTGCATCTCTGCACAGAGCTCAGGATGAGGCTCAGCACACACCAAGGGCACAGGGGCAGAGGCGGGGTCAGAGTGGAAAATGGGTCCCTCAGTCACCTTTGGAGGAGGGAAAGAACCCGGCCAGGACCCTTCTGTGTCTCAACACACATGCCAGGAGGTGTGCACATGCGCACACACACACACACAGTGCTGCCACTTCTACCCTGCAGGGAGGGGAGCCCCAGCTGGGATTGGCCCACCCGTGCCCTGTCCTGGCTGCCAGCCCAAGCTCCTCTGCCTCCCTTCCACTCCCAGCTCAGGCTCAAAGCTGCAAAGGGCCACTGGTGCAGTTCCTTCACCCCTCTCAGTCGCGAGCGGAGCTCCCCAAGCCCAGCGTGCTGACCTCGTCCCTCACCCAGCTGCCTGCGACTCTTTGCCCTGCCCCAGGGTCTGCCCTGAAGGGGTGAGGCGGGGCAGGCAGGGCTATAGGAGGTGGATAGGAGTCAGTGGACTTTGAACTCAGAGCCTGGTTGGCACCCTGGGTCTCCTCTTGCTGATGTGTGACGACCTGGGGGGTGTGACTCCTTTGGACCCTGATTTCCTCATCTGTAAGGTGGGAGTCATAGCTGGCCTTAGCCTGGGGTCATGGCTGGGGTTAAAAGAGACTATGTGAGGCCAGGCATGGTGGCTCATGCCTATAATCCCAGCACTTTGGAAAGCTGAGGCGGGTGGATCACTTGAGGTCAGGAGTTTGAGACCAGCCTGGCCAACATGGAGAAACCCCATCTCTACTAAAAATACAGGTGGCATGCGCCTGTAGTCCCAGGTACTCGGGAGGCTGTGGCAGGAGAATCGCTGAACCCAGGAGGTGGAGGTTGCAGTGAGCCGAGATCATGCCACTGCACTCCAGCCTAGACAACGAGCAAGACTCCGTCTTAAAAATAAATAAATAAATAAAAGACACTGTGTGTGTGGGTGCTTGCAACAGGTCCTGACACGAAATGAACCCTGACAGATGCCCTCCATTCTGCTGTTGCTCCTCTTTGGCAGAGGCAGCGTGGGGGGTGGTGTTGCAGTGAGGGGCAGGCCCCCAGGGTAGCCTGGGCATCACCTGTGTGTGCTCTGCTCCCCTGGGACTGCACTGGCCTTGTAGGGGTAATTGCTTGTTGTCAGGAAGGTGTCCCCTTTGGGCATCCAAGGCCAGGTGATGGCGAGCCTGACCCGACACGGGAAAGCTGAAGAGGACAGGTTTGGGTTGTGGCTCTGAGACCTACCTCCAGTGGGACCTGGGACCTGGACTCTGGCCTCTGGCCCCTCCCATCCCTTGCCCATGTCCTGGGCTAGGGTCAGAGCCCAGGAGGGCTTTGTTAACTCTGATCGACAAAGGGGTTAACTTTGTTAATCCCTGAGGGTTGACCTCGTGGGGACCCAGGGATCCCAGGTGACCGTGGGCCTCCCTCTGGGGACCTTTGCAGATGGTGGTTCTCATGGACCCAATGGAGGATCCCGACGACATCCTGCGGGCACATCGCTCCCGGGAGAAGTCCTACCTGTTTGACGTGGCCTTTGACTTCACTGCCACCCAGGTGAGGGAGGGCCTGGGCTGGAGACATGCAGGAGCCCCTCCCTACCCATAGCCCCACTCAGAAGGGGCCCTCCAGGGTCCCTGCCTTTGAACCTCAGCCTCCACTCCACCTGCTCACCCTCTGTTCCTTGAGCCCTCCCCAGTCAGGAAGGTTCTCATGCACACAAGGCCCACACACCCGGCCTCTTGCACGGATGCACTGGCGTTGGCACTCAGACACCACCCTACACAGTACACCTCGCTTGGCTCCTACCGAGCTGGAAAAGGAGCTTAACGGCCATCTGGTGCGAGGACAGGGACAGAGGGTTGGTTCAGCGAAGCTGACACCCTCCTTGGGGACCCCCATCTTGCCCATCTGCGGGATGCTTCCAGGAACAGATGTGATGCATCCTCAGGGCTGGGGGCCAGGAGGCAGCTGTGCAGGGAGGCGTCTCAGGTGTCCTGGGCTCTCGTTCAGCCTGGCGTCCTCCACCGTGAGTGTAAGCAGAGACATTCCCTCCCCCACCCCCACTCACCTTGGGGCTGGGGCTCCAGGGACAGAAACCTCTCCTATCAGAGGTCAGGATGAGCCAGTGGGTGCCTGTGCTGTGCCCCGCCTGTGTCCCGGCCCCTGACAGGCTTCCTTCCTCACAGGAGATGGTGTATCAGGCCACCACCAAGAGCCTCATCGAAGGCGTCATCTCAGGCTACAATGCCACTGTCTTTGCCTATGGCCCCACAGGTGAGGGGAACACCCAGACTGTGGGCAAGGACTGCAATATTCCTGTAATCCCCGTCACCCTCCAACTAGTCTGACCCCAGCTGGGACAGGAATCAAGGATGTGGTCGCTCCAAATCTCACCCAGGGCCCTCCAGCCCCAGAAGCCCCATCCCGAGCCAGGGGCATCATCCGCCTTGCTCCCCACCACCTCCCTGGCCATCTGAGAGGGCCCAGCCTTGAGGACAAACCCCGGCTTCCAGGAGTGCCTGCCCAGCAAAGCCTCCCTCCCGACTCCACCCTGGTCACCCTCCACCTTGTTCTGCCCCAGGCTGTGGGAAAACCTACACCATGCTGGGCACAGACCAGGAGCCCGGCATTTACGTTCGGACCCTCAATGACCTCTTCCGTGCCATCGAGGAGACCAGCAACGACATGGAGTATGAGGTCTCCATGTCCTACCTGGAGGTGAGTCCCCCCAGTCCAGGCTCATATGGGGCTGGCCCACCTCCCTGGGGCTGGTCACTGGGCAGCTTCTCAGGGCACTCATCACTGCTGCCCTCCCACATGCCTATTGTGAGCTCCACTTTACAAACATTGTAGGCTCATCAGAGAGGTTAGGCAACTAGACCAATGTCACACAGTAAGCGAGGGGGTGGGGATTCAAACGCCGGACCCTGCAGCTTCTGCTCTGTGCCAGGCTCACCACCTCACCATCCTCACGGGCCCATTCCTTAGAGCAGACCCTGTCTGCCCTGCCAGACTGCCTCCAGCCACTCTGTGTACGTGGGTACAGTGAAAACTGAACATACACATACAGGCTGGAACCTATAGGCCTTTGCCACCCAGCCACAGCCTCCTGGTGCCCACCCCGTGGGAGTACTATCACCAGACAGTGATGGGATATCAGGGGCTGGGGGAACACATGGAGTCCAGAAGAGGTGGGAGGTTGGACTTCGTCTGGCTCCTCCAGGAGCTGATAATCTCCTGGGTGACATCTTAAGAAGGCAGTGAGGCAGAGCACCAGCAGCTGCTGGCCAACAAGGTGTTGATTCAGCCAGCAAGACTCGCTTTATGGGGTGGGGTGCCCCCAGAAAGAGCACAGGGGTTGCCTAGCAATGAACAGGGCTCCTCACTGGGTGGGGGAAGGGGGTTCTGGTCATTGGTCAGGTCCCCATGCAACTAGGTCAATGTCACACAGTAAGTGAGGGGGTGGGGATTCAAACTCAGGGTGCTGCCCGGTGCCCACCCTGTCTGGAAAGGAGTGATCCTTGGTTTTGAAGCCTCCTGTAACCATGGCTCCAGCAGCCCGATGTTTCCTGTGGATGCTGAAGCCCTTGACCCCATAGGAAAGAAAAGGCCTTTCCTCCCAGTCAGGGCTCTTCTGAGAGGAGCCTGGGCTCAGGAAGTGTGAACTCTTGTCCCTTTCTTGCACGAAAGGAAAGGGGACTCGGTCTTGACTTTGATCTCCTGCCCTTAGTCTCCCTTCCCCCATCCCTCCCCCACCTGTCCCATCAGATCTACAATGAGATGATCCGGGACCTGCTGAACCCCTCCCTGGGCTACCTGGAGCTACGGGAGGACTCCAAGGGGGTGATCCAGGTGGCCGGCATCACCGAAGTCTCCACCATCAATGCCAAGGAGGCGAGTTTTGTATAGCCAGCCAGGAGCCACTGAGAGGAAGCTCACTGCCTGAGGGGCAGGAGGGGCAGGGACTGAAGCCAGGGGGCTGCTGCCCACTCAGCTGAGGCTGAGACAGACAGGCAGAACCCTGAGTGGCAGCAAGGAGGGGACTCACACCTGCCCCAATGCCCCCACCACGCTGACCCTGGGAGGGTAACCAGGCAACACTGCCTCTCCATTTACCCAGAGACCCTGTCCTCCAGAGAGCCGAGCTCACCCCAGGCCTCTCGGCGCATGGAGCCCAGCCCATTCCAGCCTGCCCTTTCCCAACCGCTCAGAAGTAGGACCCTCCCTGCCAGCCCCCTTGGGCTCCTCTGTGCTGGAGCATCTCCAGCAGTCGCTAAGAGCTGCCTCTGCTCCCTCCCACCCAGATCATGCAGCTGCTGATGAAGGGGAACCGGCAGAGGACCCAGGAGCCCACGGCCGCCAACCAGACGTCCTCCCGCTCCCACGCGGTGCTGCAGGTGGCCGTGCGCCAGCGCAGCCGGGTCAAGAACATCTTGCAGGAGGTGCGGCAGGGCCGCCTGTTCATGGTCGACCTGGCGGGTTCGGAGCGTGCCTCCCAGGTGAGGCTGGGACCTGGGCTGGGCAGAGGAGGGAGGGCTGACCCAGGGAGGAGTGGAGGGCAAGGACGGTGACTCCCATGCGAGGCCAGCACCACAGGAACAGGGGAGAAAGGTTGGGAGGTGGGGACAGGGATGCTGGCATCTCAGCTTCCTAGGAGTTGGAGCGGGGAGGATGTCACAGTGAGGTGGCGGGGATGAGTGGAGACCCCTGGGTTAAGGAAGTGAGGAACGTCCCAGAGGAGCAGGGTGGGGGGGGATGGGGTAGGGCATCGCAGGAAAAGCCAAGGGGCTCTTGTGGGAAGGAGAAAGAGGATGGGGGTTTCTCCAGGGAAGGAGACGGGCTGCCCTAGGAGAGAGATCCGGGAAGACAATGAATGGACCCAAAGGAGTAGTTGGAGGCAGGGAGAGACAAGTATCCCCTGACTGGGGGGTGACTTGGGACATCCTGGGAGAGGACCCAGCCAGTCACATCACGAAGAGGAGAAGGTGCCCGTCACCCATTTCTGGCAGCATCTTTGTCCCCTCTCATGGAGCTTGGCTTCGTGGCAGCATCCTTGTCCCCTCCCCTGAAGCCCTGCTTGCTGGGCTCTGCAGCCTTGGTGGCAGCACCACCCTGCTGGTGTAGGTCTGGGCTCCCTCGAGCAGGCAGTCTTGGGGGTTTTAGGGTCACCTGAGCAATGAGGCTGGGTGATGTCACCATTGCTGGCACTGGAACAAATGCAAGGGGAATGATAGCACCAGAAAGAATGAACAGTCTTTCGTGTTTGAACATGTGGGGTTGGATCTGAACGGGGCAGTTTCAAGAAACTCACCCCTCCCATCCAGTAAAGCCTAGGGGGCTTCCTGGAAGGCATACAGAGGAGAGGCCTGGGAGGAGAGTGCCCTTCAGCCACTGGAGCCAGCGGGTCCCGGCTTCGCCAGGCTGGGCAGAGCCACCTCCTACAGGGAGCTGCAGGAGGGGCCTCCTCAGCTTTGATATGCTCCTGCAGGCCCAAGAAAAGGAGAGGAGCCTGCCCTCCGCCACCATGCACATTCTGCATGCGTGTGCACGTACTTCCCTCCCTGCGCCCTGGGGCACCCTCTGGAGTGCCTGTGGTCCTGCTGGCTCCCAACTGAGCTGCCTGGAAAGCAACCTCGCTCCCATCTCATCCATGGCACTGTGTGTCAGGCTGTGCCACAGCACCTGCCCTGGGGAGAACCGGCCATCTCAGCCCTCCTCAGAAGCTGTCAGCCCATCACTCTTGTTCAGAGGCCTCCGGGTCTCTTAACCTTCTCCGATGCCCTCAATGGCCTTGGCGGGAGGACGGCCACAAGGTCCTTGGGGGTTTATTACCCAGGATCACCAGGTCATCAATGGGGTGGCTGGGGAGAAACCCAGTCCCCTGCCTCATCAGGCCGCACTTGTGCCCTTTGCTTGCCCCCTAGACACAGAACCGTGGGCAGCGCATGAAGGAGGGGGCCCACATCAACCGCTCACTGCTGGCACTGGGCAACTGCATCAACGCCCTGAGTGACAAGGGTAGCAACAAGTACATCAACTATCGCGACAGCAAGCTCACCCGACTCCTCAAGGTACCAGCCACAGCTGGGCCTGGGTACTGGGCACCGAGGGTGAGGCTGCCAGATTGAACAAATGAAAATACAGGGCACCCAGCTAAATTCCAACTTTAGGATACACAGCAAAATTTATTTTAGTGTAAATATGTCACATGCAATATTTGGGATATTCTTATACTAAAACAAATTAGTTGTGTATCTGAAATTCAAATTGAACTGGATATCCCATATTTTATCTGGCAACCCTAACCAAAGGCTGGGCAACGGGAAGGGAGAGGAGCATGTGATACCCCCACCCAGGGCTGTGAGTCAGAGCCATCTGGATTTGGGGGTGCAGGTGGGCAGTCAGCCTCATGGCCCCACAGGTCTGCTGTTTGGGGGTGGCCTTCTTTGTGCAGGGGTGTCCTTGGCCTTAAATTATAGCGGCATCACTGAGTGTCCACTCCTGGCTGGACTCTTGAATTCAGTACTTCACTTTGTTAACTCCTTAGATCTTGTCAACAACTCTATGAGTGTGAGGGATTACATTTGCAGATGAGCAAACTGAGGCACAACGCAGTTAGGTAACGTTCCTAAGGGCTCACACTAGTAAGTGCTGGAAGTAGGATCCAGTCAGAGGCCTCCCTGGTCTAATATCAGAGTCACCGCTTACTTAACATTGCCATCAGCTGCCGTCATGACTGCACCTAGAAGCCGGGGAGGTGGGGACAATTGCAAAAGGACTGTACCCTTAAAAAGCAAGGAAGACCCGGCGTGGTGGCTCACGCCTGGAATCCCAGCACTATGGGCGGCCGAGGCAGGTGGATCACCTGAAGTCAGGAGTTCAAGACCAGCCTGGCCACCACGGTGAAACCCCATCTCTACTAAAAATACAAAAATTAGCCAGGTGTGGTGACAGGCGCCTATAGTCCCAGCTACTCGGGAGGCTGAGGCGCAAGAATTGCTTGGATCTGGGAGGTGGAGGTTGCAGTGAGCCGAGATAGCACCACTGTACGCCAGCCTGGGCGACAGATCGAGACCCTGTCTCAAAAAAAAAAAAAAAAAAAAAGAACTAAAGAGGTGAAGGACTTTTTTTAAGTTTACACAGCTGGTAATTGCTGGAGCAGGGCTTTCTTCCTCCCAAGCCTCACGCCATATGACGTTCAGCAGCCGGGTCCCTTGAGTGTAAAGAGAGAGATTGCACTCGCCAGGGAGGGCATCGTGAACAGCCTGGCAGGAGGAAGGCCTGGGGAGGCAGTTCCCACTGACCACAGCCACCTCCCATCCAGGATTCTCTGGGAGGAAACAGCCGCACAGTGATGATCGCTCACATCAGTCCTGCGAGTAGTGCCTTTGAGGAGTCCCGGAACACCCTGACGTACGCCGGCCGGGCCAAGAACATTAAGACTAGGGTGAGGGCCCCTGGACTGTCCACCAGGGCACAGCTTCCTGGGCTGAGATTCAAGCCCCTGGGCTGATCCCTGCCACCCCACCCCACTCTCTGGAACCAGCCACTGCTGCACTGGCCTCATTCCCTAGTTGACTGTCACCTGTACACTTTCCCTGCACCTCCAAACCCTGCTCCTCTGCCTGGAAGCCGAGAGCTCCGAAGGGTCCCCGCTTCCTCCAGTCCCAGGACTGTGCTCCCCCTGCCTCACCCCCTCTTCTCTTACCTTCCTCGTCTTCATATGCTCATTTAGACCTTTGCATTTCTAAAGTACCTCTTCATGACGGTCATCACAGGAGGCAAGCTTCACTGAGCCCTTGCTCTCAGCCCTTTCACATGCTACCTCCTTTGATCCTCAAAAAACAGCAGTGTTACTGCTGTTCCCATGTACAGATTAGGACAGCAAGGTTTAAGGAAGTTAAGTGACTTCCCAGCTGGTCAGTGATGGCGCTGAGAATGGACACTAGATCTGTCCCGTTTCCAAGTTCGTGTCCTTACCTGTCTGTAAGCATGTCGGAACCCTTGCCATCCACTTAGAAATCCATTTCTGCCTGTCCGTGTGCAGAGGAGTGGGAATGGATACATGTATGATAGCATGCAGGGAACATTCTCCCAACACCTAACGCTTGCCAGCTGCTGTCCTAAGGGCTTTACGTTTTATTCCAACCCCTCAATGGGGGACGGGAGACACATTCTTGAAACAGCTCATTGATGGTTCAGAATATTACTAATAGCAGGTAAATGATGCCAATGGTAGGTGCTGGGGCAAAACAGGAACAGGAGGTGGGGGTGGGCTGTTGGGGTCCAGTGGAACTCTCTGGAGACTGTAAGTGGGACCCTGAAGGCTGAGAAAACATTCCAGAAGGGTAGGAGCAGGGAGGGCACAGGTTCCAAAGGCAGGAAGGGGATAGCATCTGTGGTGGGCATGGGGAGAGCAGGACAGGTCTTCGACTGGAGCGAGATGTTCATGCAGGAACGGTGAGCCCAGAGAAAAACAGAGAGATGGGGGTGGCCCTTCAACAATGGGTGGAGGAATGAGGACGTTCCCTCATTCCTTCAGGAAGCTACTGAAGGTTGATGAGTTTCAGCAGTGACTGTGACAAGAGGTTGCGGAAGTGGAGGAAAGGAGGCCACTACTATCAGCTAGAAAGACTGGGAGAGGCAGGGGGAAGAAAGGCGGCCCCTGCAGGTAGGCCTTGGTGAGTGCACGGAGGCAGGGCCTGGCACCCTGGGTGACTGCATCCCCTCCACTCCCTACATGTTCCCTGCAGGTGAAGCAGAACCTGCTGAACGTCTCCTACCACATCGCCCAGTACACCAGCATCATCGCTGACCTGCGGGGCGAGATCCAGCGACTCAAGTGCAAGATTGATGAGCAGACTGGGCGGGGACAGGCCCGGGGCCGGCAGGATCGGGGTGACATCCGCCACATCCAAGGTGCGCCTGTGGGTCTGTGTGAGTGGCAGCCCCCTCCAGGCAGCCTCACGTTGCTCTGGGATCAGGCCATGTTGTGTTTAAATCCAGAATCGGGCTCTTTCTGGCTGGGTGGTTGGGCTAGGCACTCACCAGCTCTGAGCCTCCTAGCATTCGACTGTTAAATGGGGTTGTGATCTCTGCTTCAGACAGTTGCCAGAGATCACAACCCCATTTTACAACCCACCTTGGAAGAGTAGGTGGGATCCCACAAAGGAGAGGCACATGAGCAATGAGTTGTGCAGGGCACACACTAAGGCCTCTGGCGTAGGACTGCGAGGTCATGCCTGCACCACCGGAATGGGCTCTGTTTCCTTACAGACCTGCATATTTGCTGTGATGGTTTTCCAACAGACAGTAAAGTTTCTTTTTTAAAAAATAATTACTAATATAAAGAGAGAGGCAGACAGTAAAGGTTTTGTTTGTTTGTTTGTTTGTTTTTGAGACGGAGTCTCGCTCTGTTGCCTAGGCTGGAGTACAGTGGCATGATCTGGGCTCACTGCAACCTCTGAATCCCAGGTTCAAGCGATTCTCCTACCTCAGACCCCCAAGTAGCTCAGATTACAGGTGCCCGCCACCACGCCTGGGTAATTTTTGTAATTTTAGTAGAGACAGGGTTTCGCTATATCGGCCAGGCTGGTCTCGAACTCCCGACCTCAGGTGATCTGCCCGCCTGGGCCTCCCCCCAAAGCGCTGGGATTACAGGTGTGAGCCACTGCACCTGGCCACAAACAGTAAAGTTTCTAAGGGCACCCCTTTTTACTGTTGGCACAGAGGTGCTGTAAGGGTTAGCAGGAGGCCGGGCGCGGTGGCTCAAGCCTGTAATCCCAGCACTTTGGGAGGCCGAGACGGGCGGATCACGAGGTCAGGAGATCGAGACCATCCTGGCGAACACGGTGAAACCCCGTCTCTACTAAAAAATACAAAAAACTAGCCGGGCGAGGCGGCGGGCGCCTGTAGTCCCAGCTACTCGGGAGGCTGAGGCAGGAGAATGGCGGGAACCCGGGAGGCGGAGCTTGCAGTGAGCTGCGATCCGGCCACTGCACTCCAGCCTGGGCGACAGAGCGAGACTCCGTCTCAAAAAAAAAAAAAAAAAAAGGGTTAGCAGGAGCCCAGTTCATACCAAGGAGCTGGAAATCGCTTTTGGGCAACAGCTTGAAGATTCAGTGCGGGAGTGGGATGTGGGAGGATGTAGTAATCTAGGGGGTCTTCCTGGAGGAAATAGTTGGACAGGAAGTGGGAGCACTGAGTTGGGAAGAAAGGGAGGGGAGGGCCCCAGGTGGGCCCAGGCTTTCCTAGCTGAACTTGCCTCCTCCTCTACCTTACCCACCCTCACTGGCAGCTGAGGTCCAGCTGCACAGCGGGCAGGGTGAGCAGGCTGGCATGGGACAGCTTCGGGAGCAGCTTGTCAGCGCCTTCCAGGAGCAGATGGATGTGCGGAGGCGCCTGCTGGAACTGGAGAACCGTGCCATGGAGGTCCAGATTGACACCTCCCGACACCTGCTCACCATCGCTGGGTAAGCCCCCCGCCCAGGACCCTCCAGGCCCCACCCCTGTGCCTGGGACACAGGAGCATAAGCTGTGGCTGTGCACTGTGCTCTGCCCCCATGGCCTGAATGCCCTGTCTCTCTGGGTGGGGCTGTGGCAGCTGGAAGCATGAGAAGTCCCGCAGGGCCCTCAAGTGGCGGGAGGAACAGCGGAAGGAGTGCTACGCTAAGGACGACAGTGAGAAGGACTCAGACACAGGCGATGACCAGCCGGACATCCTGGAGCCGCCCGAGGTGGTTGCAGCCCGGGAGAGCATCGCAGCCCTGGTGGGCGAGCAGAAGCAGCTGTGCAAGCAGAAGGTGTCCAGGGTTTGGGGGGCAGGGAGAGCGGGTTTAGGGGACAGGGTGCACAGGTTTGAGAGGCAAGGCGGAGGGGCCGGGGTGGGGGTAGCCATGAGACCTGGGAACTCAGGCCACAAATCCTGTGTGACTTTGCTAAGTTCTTTAACTTCTCTGTGTGTCACATTCCCCACCTGTAAAATGGGAGCAGTCCATGGTGCAGCCCTCATGGGGTTGCTGGGAAGATTACATAAATGCCTGGCACATACCAAGGACTCAAAAAATGGTAACTAATGTTATAATGAGGGTTTTCCAGGCCGGGCGCCATGGCTCACACCTGTAATCCCAGCACTTTGGGAGGCTGAGGTAGGCTGATCACTTGAGAGGCCAGGAGTTCGAGACTAGCCTGGCCAACATGGGGAAATCCCATCTCTACTAAAAATACAAAAAAAAAAAAAAAAAAAAAAAAAATAGCCTGGTGTGGTGGTTCATGCCTGTAATCCCAGCTACTCGGATGGCAGAGGAATAAGAATCACTTGAACCTGGGAGGCAGAGGTTGCAGGGAGCTGGGATAGCGCCACTGCACTCCAGCCTGGGTGACAGAGCAAGACCCTGTCTCAAAAAGAAAAAAAAATAATAATAATTAGGGTTTTCCCAATAACAGATTTTTGCCTTCTGTTCTGGGGCATACCCAGACCAGGGGGGCTTTAGGGTGTCATGAGCCCTGAGGGGGTCACATGGGCTGCGGTTAAGTAGCTATCCCCCAAGCTGGTTCCAGGGGTGGGTTGAGGTCAGGATGGCAAGAAAGTGGACACTGAGGGGCCACCTTGGAGTAGTCCCTGATTGTAAAGCCCAAGATTTAGCTTTCAGGGTTGGCCTCAGCCTGGAGCTCCAGACAGATGCCTGGAGTCCAGGCACTGGAGGGGCGAGGACGGGCTGGGCCGGCGGATCGGACCCCTCTCCCCGCTGCCAGGTGTTGACGTGCGCCTCCTGCAGCTGGCGCTGGAGCAGCGCTGCCGGGAGCTGCGCGTGCGGGGCCGGCGCCTGGAGGAGACCCTGCCCCGGCGCATCGGCTCCGAGGAGCAGCGCGAGGTGCTCAGCCTGCTGTGCCGCGTGCACGAGCTCGAGGTGGAGAACACCGAGATGCAGTCGCACGCGCTGCTCCGCGACGGTGCGCTCCGCCACCGCCACGAGGCCGTGCGCCGCCTGGAGCAGCACCGCAGTCTCTGCGACGAGATTATCCAGGGCCAGCGGCAGATCATCGACGGTAGGGCCCACGCCCCCGCGCATCTGAGCCACCCGCGGGGGGGCCGCTGGCACTCGCTGAGCCCTGCCCCTTCCCCGGCAGACTACAACCTGGCTGTCCCGCAGCGCCTGGAAGAGCTCTACCAAGTGTACCTGCGGGAATTGGAGGAGGGCAGCCTGGAGCGGGCCACCATCATGGACCAAGTGGCCTCCAGGGCCCTGCAGGTGGGTGGGCGCCTGGGTGGCCTGAACATGGGCACGTGTGCCCAGGGAGGGGCTGATGACCAAGGCAATGCCTGCAGGCAGCTGGAGGGGACAGGACCAGGCTGGCTGGCACCCCAGGGAGTCGACTCCCTTTCCTTCTTACCCCACCCAAAGCCTTGTCGAGCCTGAGTAAGACCCTCATCCCTGAGCACTCCTAGGCATCGCTTGTTCCCACCCAGGGTCTGAGGGTCAGGGCTGGCCATCTGAGATATCACAAATGGCCCCAGGTGCCCTTCCAGGAGACCAAGCATCAGGCAGTGCCACTGGGGATGCCTAGCAGACCACAGCTTACCCCCGAGGACCCAAACACCAGCCCACTGCCCTTCTGGGGCTCCCAGGCCATCTTACAACCCTTGTCACCCTGTGAGCCTTTGTGACTCTGTGCTGATTCAGTCCAGGACCAAATCTTCTAACTGTCCATCCTGACTCCCTCCTCCCCAGGACAGCTCCTTGCCCAAAATTACCCCAGCAGGAACCTCACTGACCCCAGATTCTGACCCAGAGAGTGTGAAGACACTGAGCTCTGATGCCCAGCGCCTGCGGAACAGCGCTCTCCCTCCCCTCAGCACAGAGAGGTGAGAAGGGGGGCCACCTGCCCCAGCCCCCACCCTGTGCCCTGTCCCAGAGAGGCCAACCCAGACTAAGGCTAAATGGTGAATACGGAGCAGCAATGAGAGGGAGCAGGTGGCCCAGGTCTGGAGCCAGGACTCCTGGGTTCTCTCTCCTTTCACACCGACAGCTTCTCCCCGGGGTGGGGGTGGGACCTCAGTGAGAGAGCCTGGTCTACAGCCACTCATCTTCCTCTGCCAACTTCAGTGAAGGCCACCACGTGTTCAAGGCTGGTACTGGGGCCTGGCAGGCCAAAAGCTCCTCTGTGCCCACCCCACCTCCCATCCAGCTCGGCAGCCTGGTGATGCAGGAGGTGAGCTCTCAGTACCTGATGGCCCCACGAGCTCCGCTGCAGTGGGTGCGGGACACGGGGGTGGACAGCAGCAGTTGGGATGGAGCCTTTCCCAAACGGCACCAGCCTGAGGCCCCGCTATCTCTGCTGAGTGGGGCATGGGGTCCCTGCTGTGTTTAAGGGTTCCCTCCTCCCAACACTCCACCTCATAGGCCCCGGCTCAGGACAGCCTGGGCAGCTGGATCAGCTCTTCCCCCGACAGCAGTGAGATCCTGTTGGAGATCCCCTTGTCCCACAAAGGTATGTGTGCCCTCTGCTGCCCTGGCCACCTCGCCTGGCCTTGTCTAAACTGTTCAGATCACCCAGTCCAAAGCCCTTACCTGCCTTCTTCACTGCCAAGTGCAACCGTGCATTGGGTCCTACACATTCTGAAGAGGCACCATTGCCCCTGAGGATTAGTCAGTCAAGGACACTTAAGGGTCCTCTCTACATCAAGGAGAGACCTTGAGGCAAAAAGGTCTCTTTTTTAGAGAGACCGGGGCAAAACCGGAAATTAGAAAAGACATGTGGCATGGAGAATGGTGTCTCCCACACCCCCGCCGCCACCTCCACTCAGTCATCACTCTAATAGCAAATATCAATTCAATGTCTCCCCCCTGGAAAATGTAGGTTGAGCCCATTTTCTCAATTAATCCTGGAAATAACCCGATGGCATTAGTTTTGCCATCCCCCATTTGCAGATGAAAGTGAGGCTCAGAAATGGGCCCAAGTTTCTTGCATAGCAAACCCCTGGAAAGTGCTGGGGTTGAAACCCAGGCAGTCTGGCTCCTACCTATGTCTGCCATGTCAGAGGAGGCTGTTAAGAGGTGGCCTTGATCTTGGGTTGGGGGTTCCCTGTGTCCTGCTGCAGAGAGGAAGGAGATCATGACTGGCACCAAGTGCATCTCGGTGAAGGCCGCCCGGCGGCGCTCGCAGGCCCTGGGCACCGAGGGGCGACACCTGCTGGCACCTGCAACAGAGCGCAGCAGCCTATCCCTGCACTCGCTGAGCGAGGGCGATGATGCGCGGTCACCAGGCCCGCTGGCCTGCAAGTGGCCACCCAGCCCCATGTTGCAGCATGCTGCCAGTGAGGACAACCTGTCCAGCAGCACGGGCGAGGCCCCGTCTCGGGCAGTCGGGCATCATGGGGACGGTCCTGGGCCCTGGCTGCGTGGCCAGAAGAAAAACCTGGGCAAGAAAAGGGAGGAGTCGCTGGAGGCAAAGAGAAGGAAGCGGAGGTCCCCATCCTTCGAGGTCGCCGGGCAAGGGGTGAGGCAAGGCGCAGGGTGGGGGGGTCTAGGCACTCCCATAGCAGCTGGGGGCCTGAGGGCTGGATTTCTCCAAAGGCTCCAGGGCACCTCTAGCCTGCCCCACACCTGGAGACACCACCCTCCACAAAGTCTCTGTCCCCAGCCTGGTCTAGTAGCTGGGACAGATCCTGGTAGCAGATCCCTGTGCCGCTCTCATCCTCACCCCACTGTTCAACCATCACAGCTCTCCCGCCCCAAGACACACCTCCTGGGGTCCCATCAGGCGGAGCGCATCTCAGACCACAGGATGCCAGTGTGCAGGCACCCAGCCCCTGGTATCCGGCATCTGGGAAAGGTCACACTACCTTTGGCCAAAGTCAGACTCCCTCCAAGCCAGAACACGGGTCAGTATGGGCAAGGAGGGGATGGGGAGGGGAGGTCTCCCCCAGGCCGGGCAGCAGAGAAGACACAGTGCATTTCCTGCGCCTCTGGTTGCCCCTTGCTGGAAGCATGGTTCTAGCAGAATATTCATGAGACTGGCATCTTGTCATTGTGCCCATAGAGAGTTCAAGGCCACTGGGTGATGGGAGAGGAGTTGGGGAGGCATTCTGAAACCACTGATCCTGCCCCTTTCCCTGTTGCAGGCCCGGGGGACTCCTCACCCCTGGCTGTTCCCCCCAACCCAGCTGGTGGTTCTCGACGGGCTACCCGTGGGCCCCACCTGCCCCACGGTACAAGCACCCATGGCAAAGATGGATGCTCCCGGCATAACTGAGGGGCCCTGCCTGGAACTGGCTCTCCCGCCCCCCAAGACTGAATGGGGCCTAACAGGGCATGGGAGGTGGAGGCTGGGCAGATGGAGATGACCAGGAAGTAGAAGCTCAGGATCTCAGCAGGCCGGGGCTCCTGAGACCCAGGAACTGGGGTGTCTACCCAACCCTCCCATGCTTTCAGTGCCACCGGGGAAAAGAGGTGAGGCCAGGGGACATGGCTGGGATGGCTGGCTCCCTGGCCTCCCAGCCCTGGACAGAATGCTGTTGCCAAAACCCTGCACAGCCATGAGGGCAGCCTTGGCCTTGGAAATGGAGGAAAGCAGCTGGCAGTGAGACGGGGCTCCTGGCCCACGTGTGGGGCACGGGCATCCGGGATGGTTGGGGAGGCGCCGACAGGCACTTCACTTATTACAATTGGGGATGTGGGTGAGGGAGGGAATCTGGTTTTGTTACTTGGCAGTGGCCTTTTCTCCCCTTTCCTTTTTAACAATAAAATCTCATTTGGGTCTTGATGGTTGTGTTGGAAATTTGACCTTGTCTGGAATGTGGTTCCACCAACTCCCCCTCCCCCCCGTCCCCATCTACCCCTGGCTCACTGTATAACACCAACCTACAAATACCTGGGGGAGAGGGGTTTTGTTGTAGATCCTGAGGCCTCTCCCCAGGGTAGGGCTGGCAAGATCCATTATGTCCGTATCCCACTGGTCTTCACACCTGCCCAGGCACCCTCCCAGGAGAGATCAGGGACTTGGAGCGGCCCAGATGCCAGAAAGTCTCACAACCCAGGTGAGGCGGTTGCTCCTCAAGGTCAGGGCTCAGAAACTGCCCAGCTAAGCCCCTCAGCCTCAAAGTGAGGAAACTCCTGCAAGGGGAATGGGGCGTTCCCTGACTCCCCTGCAAGGGGAATGGGGTACTCCCTGTCTCCCAGGCAGGTGGGTTGCTGTGACCACGTGGGTGCTTTTACCTAGCCTAGTTCTGTGTCTGGGTGGGGGGAAAGCTCAACAAAGGGGAGTGAAACCCCTAAACCCCCTGGCTTGTGGGATCCTCCCCAGGTTGTTTTTACCCGGAAACTGAGTGGTTCAATCATCCCCTTACCACTCTGAGCATCGGTTTATTCAGGACCAAGAATGTTCCTTCAAGTCAGCTGTGAAATCAGCTCTTGAAACCAGGCATCTTGTCTACCACGCCTCACCTGGACTCCACCCCAGCCCTAGGGTGGCCGGCACCTGGCCATCCAGGATACCAGGCTTGTTGCCACCTCCACACTCGCCTTGCCCTTCCCAGACCCACAAGGAGCACCTAGGCCAGGCCTTTACTCCCCGACCCCGAGGCTACTTGGGGGTCCGGATAAGGGTGTGGTATACGGGCTTGACGATGAGGTGCAGGTGCAGGGCGTTCTCCACCAGGTACTCCGAGTTGCGCCGCTGCAGGTCGGCGTGCGCCAGGAAGTCGCCGGCCTCCTCGCTGCTCTGGTGGAAGCTGTAGGCGTGGCGGACCAGCAGGCGGCCCTGCTGGCGCGCCCCCACCAGCACGGTCTTCTGGAAGCTCACGCCCGCCGCGTCGCCGCCGCTGCTGGCCGGCGTCACCACCAGCCGCGGTCGGCCGTCCTCCGGGCGCGCGGCGGGCAGCGCTGTGCCCGCGGCGTCCGCGTAAACGGGCCGCAGACTGACGGGCAGCCAGCGCGGTGAGAAGAGCACGTTCCAGGTGACCCGGCGGCCCGCGTCGTGGCCACTCGGGCCCAGCTGCGTCTGGAAGCTGGTGCTGCGGTCGTCGCGGGCCGGGTTGTTGATGACCCACGGGGCGCCCCAGGCGGGCGCGAGGTAGTTGCGGGGCAGGAAGGCGCTGCCGTTGACGTCGAAAAACTTGGCGTAGTGCAGCGGCGACGCGGCGTGGAACTGGTAGGCCTGCAGCAGGAGGTCGGCCACCGCGGGGCCGTGGCGCGCCAGGGCGGCCGAGCGCGCCTGCAGTTGGAACAGTTGTGCGGGTGGGATCATGGGGTAGCGGATGGCTCGCAGCGCCCGCTCGGCCACGGCAGGGGGCGGCCGCGCGCGACCCAGCCAGGCCTCCAGCGCTTGGAACAGCTCCAGTTCGTCCTGCAGCACCAGGTCCGAGCGTTGCAGGAGCTGCCACAGCAGCTCCGGGCTCACGGCGCCCCATTCGGCGCTGGCCGCCACGGCCGACAGGTTCCAGGCGAGGAACTGCAGGCAGCTCTCGCGCAGGGCCTCGTCCCCGGTGCCCACCGCGTAGTGGTACCAGCCCACCGCCGGGCCCACGCCGCCCGCCAGGTGCGCGCGCATGTAGTCGGCCACGCCGCGCTGCAGGGAGGCCACGCCGTACTTGGTGGCCAGCCTGTGCAGGGGGATGGCCTGGGTCAGCAGAACAGTCAGCTCCCCGCAGTACAGGTACCTGCGGGAGAGACCAAGAGGTGGGGTGGGGTCAGGGCGGTACCCACCTCCCAGCATAGCTTTTTCTGAGTCCAAGGGGACCCGGCCTGGAGTTGGAGCTTCATGGTTCAGGTGCAAACACAGTGGAAGCCCCACCCTGAGGCTTCTCATGTTTTCCTTTCAAGGACCCTTCCAGGCCATTCTTACTTCACAGGCTCTTCTTTCCGTTTCCGTGGTGATGTAGAAATTGCCTGCCTTGACTGTGCCTGTACTAGGCCTGCAGCTCTAGACCGGAACAAAACAGACGTGGCTCCTGCCATTGCGGTTTACAGTCTGGTTGAGATCCATGGCCTGCCTTCTCCTTGCCATGAGTCTGGGCAAGTCACTTAATTTCAATGAACCTTAGGTTAATCAATCATCTGGGAAAGGGGGAGTGGCACACACCCCTCAGGGTTATTGTGACAACCAGAGGAGAATAAAGAATGTTGCTACAGGCCAGGTGGGTGCCAGTGGCTCACACCTGGAATCTCAGCACTCTGGAAGGCCAAGATGGGAGGACTGCTTGAGGCCAGGAGTTCAAGACCAGCTTGGGCAACATAGCGAGACCCTATCTCTACAAAAAAAAAAAAAAGTTAAAACATTAGTCATGCTTGGTGGTGCACACTTGTAGTGTCAGCTGCTTGGGAGTCTGAGTCAGGAAGATAACTTCAGCCCAGGAGTTCCAGGCTGCCGTGAGCTACGATCATGCCACTACACTCCAGCTGTGTTTTGTTTTGTTTTGAGATGGGGTCTTTCCGTGTTGCCCAGGTTGGTCTCAAACTCCCGGACTTGAGCAGTCCTCCCACCTTGGCCTCCCAAAGTGCTGGGAATGCAGGTGTGAGCCTGCATTTCTTTTTTGCAACCTCGCCTTTTGTTTTTCCTCTCCTACTGTTGATGATCACTTGTGCTGAGTATCTCTCCCTCTCACTTCATCTGCTGCTGTCCCGCTGCTCACCCTTCCTGCCAGTCCCCACTGGCACACGGCACCGCACTTGCCCCTATAGGAGTGCGGCAGCCACTGCCAGCCATCTTCCCCAACATCCATTTCTCCCTTTTCCCCTGCGTGATTGCCTCTGGGAATAAAAGACCACATTTCCCAGGCTCCCTGATAGTGGGCATGGCCATGTGACTAACTGCTGGTCAATGGGCACAGTTTGGGATTTGCAGGAAGGCTGGTTAAATGCAACTGATTCAGGATAACAGGAAGACCCTTTTTGCCCTTCTGTCTTATCCCCCTTCCTGTTGCCTGGAACTTGGAAGCAATGTATGGAATTCTGCAGGCATCTCGTCTGAGCCGTTAGAACAGAGTTACTTTCTTAGACACTAGTGTGAATGGCACTCCCTGTGCAGCACCATGGCAGGAGGCAGGAGAGAGCTGTCTAACTTTTTCAACTCCCTAGCCCTGTGGTTCCAAACCTGGCCAAACACCAAAACCACAGAGATGCTTTAAAATAAAAACTATTCCTCTATAATGGAATATTTAGGAAAATAAAAAGTAAATAAATAAAATAAAATAAAAAATGATTGCTGGCCTTAACCCTAGACCTGAAACTGATGATCCAGGTTGGGACCCATGAAACTGTAGTTTTTTTGTTTGTTTGGTTGGTTCATTGGTTGGTTTTTTTGAGACAGAATCCTGCTCTGTTGCCCAGGCTGGAGTCTAGTGGCATGATCTCAGCTCACTGCAAACCCAAACTCCACCTCCCAGGTTCAACCAATTCTCCTGCCTTAGCCTCCCGAATAGCTGGGATTACAGTTGCACGCCACCACACCCAACTAATTTTCTATATTTTTAGTAGAGACAGGGTTTCACCACGTTGGGCAGGCTGGTCTCGAACTCCTGACCTCAGGTGATCTGCCTGCTTCGGCCTCCCAAATTGCTGGGATTACAGGCATGGGCCACCATGCCCAGCCCCAAAACTGTAGTTTTTAAAAGCTGTCCCATGGCCAGGTTTGGAAACAGCTCTGAGGGGGTTACCAGGAACCGAAAGTGACATCAAACTGTGCAGATGACACAGGCAAAGACAGGGAGCTGTACAGTGGACGAAGGGATGCAGGGGTCACTGTCATCCCAGTGATGTCTGGGGAAACGTACATAACAACCTCTAAGGGCCTGGGCTTCCCTGACCCTGTAGGTGGAGGAGCCAGGGACTGAGGAAGGGATGAAGCCTCCCCCTAGTCTTCCCCGTCCCACCTGATGAACTTGTCGAAGACCGCGGCGCAGTCCCGTGGCTCCTGCAGCACCGCCTCGCTCTGGTTGCTCAGCAGCTCCCGGAACAGCTCACTGTGTAGTCCCAGCAGCAGGCGGTGGGCGTGGAAGACCCGGACCTCGTCGGTGCCCGCAGCCTGCACCCGCAGAACCACGTCACTGGCGTTGCCCTGTCGCAGCAGCTCCTGCAAGCGCTGGAGCACCGCCTGGGAGTGGTTGATGGAGGTACCAGCTGCCTCCCCGCCAACATCGGCTCTCTGGGCTGCAGCAGGAAGGAGCACAGCACAGCCTGAGAGGGCGTCCAGGCCCAGGACCTCAGTCGGGGGTGGAGAGCGACCAGCTGGAGACATATGCATGGGTGTGAGCAGAGGGCAAGATGGGCCTAGGCAGACTGTGTGTGCACACCTGTTTGTGCCCACGAGGCGCGTGGATGCATCTGTGACACACAAACACATGCTGGGTGGGAAGGTCATGCCGGTGCAAACCCCAAGAGGATGCTCTTGGACGGGGGCGCATTCAGGCAGGGAGAGGCTATGCTCAGGTTTGGGACAACATGCCCAGAACTCGCCTCCGTGCTGCCAGCTCCCCAGGCAAGGGTTGAGGAAACTCGTGGTCCCACCCTTCTCACCTCCTAAAGAACTGTCCATCTAACCCCTTGCAGCAGTAGTCAGAAGTGGTGCCTTCACTAACAAATATTTACTGAGCACTTACTATATGCTAAACATTCTCCTAAGAGCTTGGGATATGGCAGTGGACAAAGCAAGCCAAGTTCTTATGCTCATAAAAGCACAAACTGACATATCAGACAGGTAAGACGCACAGAAATAAGCACTCCAGTTTGTAAGGAGCCAGCCAGGGAACCAGTGCCAAGGTGGGATCCAGCCCTGCAAAGGCCCTTGAAGGGAATGGGCCTGGGGTACTGGGAGCAGAGAGAGTGTTAGGGAGGCCAGAGCAGTGGCAGGAGAGAGGGTGTGCGACGAGGCTGCAGGTGTGGAAGGGAAGCTGTTTTCCAGGCCCAGCCCTTCCCTCTTGGGTCCTGATCTCTGAGACAGAAGCCCACTTTCTGTGGGTGGCCAGCAGGGGACAGGAGAAAGTGCACAGGGCCAGCTGGTGCTGGAAGAGAACTTCCTGGGTAACTGAGCATCGAGGCTGGCTAGGCCAGCCCTTTTCTCATGCTCCAGGGATGAGAATGACAGTCAGATGGGGATGTGCACTCAGTTACAGAAACTGTCAGCAGCTTTCCCAAGCCGAGAACAGCAAGGGGAGCCTTGCAGAGGGAGGCGGGCAGGGGCCTGATAGCAGCAGATGGGCCCCGGCCACATGCGCGCGCACGCACATCACATGCAGGCCCGTGGTGCACACAGGAGAGAAGGCTCACACAGGAGCAGAGCATCTGTGCATGAGAGAGGGAGGCCAAGGGAGAAAGGGAGGGTGAGAGAGAAGCGGGTAGTGCATTTCCCAGCCCTGCCTCCCCCAGCTGTCACTTTGAAGGACCTGAATGCTGATGGCATCCCCATTCAGCCTCTGTCCAGGACAATGGGCAAGGGAGGGTCCTCTTGTCTTTAAGACCCCTGCCCGCCTGCCCGCCTGGCCCCTCCTTCCTTCAGAGAGATGAGTCTGTGGAGCTGTCCAGTCCACCCCGGGCTCTCCCCAGCAGCTGGACACCGCCCCCTCCCGGCCGGCCGCGTGCAGCCAGGGCTGAGACGTCCTGCTGCTCCACCCTGCCCCGCACCTGGCCCACTGCCCACTCACCTGCACGTGTGACCAGGCCCACCAAGGTCAGCATGGCCCAGAAGCTGCCCCAGGACCCAGGTTTGGAGTAGCCTCTCCTAGGCATCTTTGTGCTCAGCCCCCAAGTCCACTGGAGGGACGGTGAAGCCCAGACCACTCTGCTCACATCCCTCTTCCTTATATACGATCCAGCACAAGGGGACGGCACCCCCCTTCCTGCCTGGCCTCCCTCCCCCACTCAGCCTCCTCCATGGATTGGTGGAAACTGGCCCCAGCTGTTGCCCAGGCAACCACTTAAGCCAGAGAGCGGCAGCCCCGGGGGCTATTGTGCTGCCTGTGGGCCCCCAAGGGGAACAGATCCGGAACCCTCCTCCCCCAATCTCCTTACCACCCAGCAGAGCTAGCCGTGCCTCTCCCTGGAAAGTTTCAGGCTCTCTGGAGAATAGGCGAGGGGCTCCAGGACCACTGGCAGCCATTGGCCTCCCCCAACCCCAGGCCTCAGCCCTGGCACGGAGCACACTTGGCAGCGTCGTGGCTGGAGCACCATGGTGAGCCGGCTGCAAAGGAAGGGCCTGGAAGAGGAGAGGAGAGGCGGCTGAGGCTCCCACCCCTCCCCCACTCGCATTTGGGGTGGGTCAGCTCCTCAGAGAAAAGCTCAGGCATCTCTCGAATAGGGGCCCATGGGTAACTGGTATCAGTTGCACATTCTTTGTTGGAGAAGGTTCCCGGAGTGCTGTGGGGAGGGTGATGGGCTGGTAGGAAAGTTCCGTAGGGACTGTGACTGTCACCTCCCTCAGGGGCAAGCTGAGCCAGGTGGCAGGGCTGGGCATAGAGCAGATGCCCCCTGCCCCGTGTACCACTGCATGGGCGACCCCTGCCCAGAGCGGAGCTGGCCACCTTCCAGCTCTGCGCTCCAGCCAGCCTAAGGCTGGGTACTGTCTGCCCTGCTGTTTCCTGACTTGAATTCTCCTTCTCCAAGTGGCCTCAGGTCTCTGAGTTCACCTCCTTGGAAGGCTTCTTTTACCAGCTTCTGTCTTCTTTCCACCTGTAATTGTTCCTTTTCCAGAGTTCCGAGGAGGCATGCTGCAGGCCTGGTGTCTCACTCCCACTGTCGGGAGACTGAGGCAGGGAGCTAGGTTGCAGTCTCAGTTGGGTTAGTGCAGAGGAGTGCTCTTCTAAAAACAAAGGCAACAGAGAGAGGAAGGTGAGGTCTGGAGCTCAGCGGAAGCGTGTGTGTGTGTGTGTGTGTGTGTGTGTGTGTGTGTGGTGGCATGGTGTGAGTCCTCACCTTTGTGGGGAGCTAGCAGGGTCTGCCCCATTTCTTCGTGGGAGGGACTCTTTTGAGCTTGGCTAACTGAAGTGGGTGGCTCCCAAGGGATCTGACTCGGAGGCAGGGCTCTGGGTTGGGGATGAATTGAATCTTCCTCTCCCTGGCTCTCTGGATCCCAGGGGCCAGCTCGATGCATTGATTCTGCCTCTGGCTGGCACAGAGACCCAACAGCTCCACCCCCTCTCTGGAGCCACAGAGAGAGCAAGAACTGGGTCTGGCACCTGCCTCGTCCGGGTTGGCAGAGTCGGAGATCTCCAGCCCAGCGGAAACCCCTCCGGCTGCCCTGACTTTCATGCCTGGCTCCCCTTGTCCAAATCCACTATCCCTTGCCCACTGGCTGCCTGCCTGCCCTTCCCATGGGCTGTACCATGTCCTGGCTCAACCCAGCAAGTCCGAGTCACCATGCAGCAGGGCAGCCCTTGTCCCTGAGGGCATCCCAGCTTCCAAGCACAGTGCTTTCAATAGGGATGTTTTTGATGATAAGAGAACCCGCTACTCAGAAAACTGTCGTTTGATATTTGTGCCTCTCAACTCCAGCCTCCTTCAGCCTCTGCATCAGTCATTCTTTGTTTTGTTTTGCTTTTCCAGAGGCAGAATCTCTCAGTCACCAAGGCTGGAGTGCAGTGACGCAATCATAGCTCACTGCAGCCTCAAACTCCTAGGCCCAAGTGATCCTCCTGCCTCAGCCTCCCAAGTAGCTGGGACACAGGCAGTGCCACCATGCCCAGCTAATTTTGTATCAGTCATTCTTGAAGGGTAGCCACCTGCATTAGAATCTCCCATGCTCCACCTTGGAACCGGAATTTTCAGGGGCAGGGTCTGGCTGTCTGTATTTTCTGAGTACTCCCAGACAATTGATACATGCACCCCAAGACAAGCTCTACCTACTAGAGTTACATTGGTGGCATTTCAAGTGTGAAGGAAGCTGGGAGGCCCTGGATCATTAAGAAGATCCGGGAGAGTCACCTCTGACTCCCCATCTCTGGCAGGCCCCACCTCCCATTATTTCTAACCTCCCTTATCCCTGGCCCTAAATCGAATGATTTAGAAACTAGCTTTCCACATAGAGGCATGCTCTGTTCTCATTTTCTTAACTGAGCACTGCTGGAGTGTCTGTGTGTGTGTGTGTGTTATGCATATGCACACGTGTGTATGCAGTGTGTGCATGTGCATATTTATATATGTGTGTGTGTGTTGTGTGTGCATGCATATTTGTGGATATGTGTGTGTGGTGTGTGTACTTGCATGTTTATGTGTGGAGAGTGTCCTGGGGCGGGAGAGAAGAAGCCAGGTGTTTGCCCTGAGCAGTCTTTTTTATTTTTCTTTTGAGATGGAGCCTCACTCTGTCGCCCAGGCTGGAGTGCGGTGGTGCCATCTCAACTCACTGCAACCGCCACCTTTTGGGTTCAAGCAATTCTCCTGCCTCAGCCTCCTGTGTAGCTGGGATTATGTGTGTGCATTACTATGCCCAGCTAATTTTTGTATTTTTAGTAGAGACAAGGTTTCACCATGTTGGCCAGGCTGGTCTTGAACTCCTGGCCTCAGGTGATCCTCCCGCCTTGGCCTCCCAAAGTGCTGGGATTACAGGCATGGGCCACAGTGCTTGGCCAAGTCTTTGAGAGGAAGGATCCGCAGCACTGCATATATAGGTATATACACACATATATATAGATACATATACACATGTATATACACAAACATATTTATATATACACACACATATACACACATATATACACATATATACACATACACACACATATATACACATATATACACATACACACACATATACACACACATATATACACATACACACATACACACATATGTATATACATATATACACATACACATATATATACACACACATATATACACACATATATATACACATACACACACACACATATATATATACACACACACATATATTGGCTCTGTGGATCTGGGAGCTCCATAATTCCTTGAAGGCAAGTCTGATGAGTTCACAAGCCAGCACCATCCCAGAGAGGAGTGTTACTTCCCGCCCCAGACGGGAGTGTTTGTAGCCCAAGCCATGTGTCCGAGGTCTTATGACCAGGAACCTCAGAGGCAGGATTTATTTTTCGAGTTCTGAGTTCTGCTTAACTTTTCTTTCTTCTGATTTTGTTGTTGTTGTTAGAGATGGGGTCTCACCCTTTCACCCGGGCTGGAGTGTGATGGCACTTTCATAGCTCACCGCAGCCTCAAATTCCTGGGCTGAAGCAATCCTCCAGCCTCAGCCTTCCAAGTAGCTGGGACCACAGTGTGAACCACTGCACCTGGCTACTTGACTTTTCTTTGCACAACCCCATGTTGTCTTTTTTTTTTTTTTTTGAGATGGAGTCTCGCTCTGTCACCAGGCTGGAGTACAGTGGTGCAATCTCGGCTCACTGCAACCTCTGCCTCCCGGGTTCAAGCGATTCTCCTGCCTCAGCCTCCCGAGTAGCTGGGACTACAGGTACCCACTACCACGCCCAGCTAATTGTTGTATTTTTAGTAGAGACAGGGTTTCATCATGTTGGCCAGTATGGTCTCGATCTCCTGACCTCATAATGTGCCCGCCTTGGCCTCCTGAAGTGCTGGAATTACAGGCGTGAGCCACCGCGCCCGGCCCATGCTGTCTTTTGGGGGAAGTTTTTCCCGTTGTGATAAGTGATCCCTTTGGACAAGGAATCTCTAGTATTATAAAAGCAATGGAAAACTCTTGCAAGCTTGGGATCAGATGAAGAGTTTCTGAATCTGCAAAGGGGGTGATCAGATACTGAACTGTGATAACACCTCAGAGGGGTGGGCTCCAGACGCAGCCTGGCCCTACCTGGCATCCTCCTTTGCATCTGTAGTGCCTCCTGTCCTGACTTAGGGTTCCCTGAGTCACTGGGCCACTTGGATTGGGGACAGGAAATCATGGGTTTAAGTTCCAGGACCCGTGTACTCAGGGGAGCACATAAAGATAAATATGAGGCCAGGCACGGTGGCTCATATCTTTAATCCCAGCACTTTGGGAGGCTGAGGCAGGTGGATCACTTGAGGTCAGGAGTTCAAGCCCAGCCTGGGCAACATGGTGAAACCCTGTCTCTACTAAAAATACAAATTATCAGCCGGGTGTGGTGGCTGGTGACTATAATCCCAGCTACTTGGGAGGCTGAGGCAGGAAAATCGTTTGAACACGGGAAGCAGAGGTTGCAGTGAGCTGAGATTGCACCCGTGCACTCTAGCCTGGGCAACAGAGCGAGACTCTGTCTCAAACAAATAAACAAAAAACCTTAAATAAGAAGGAATCCTTGGCCACGTGCAGTGGCTCACATCTGTAATCCCAGCACTTTGGGAGGCCGAGGCAGGTGGATTGCATGAGCCCAGGAGCTCGAGACCAGCCTGGGCAACATGGTGAAACACTGTCTCTACAAAAAATACAAAAATTAGCTGGGTGTGGTGGCGCATGCCTATAATCCCAGCTACTCAGGAGGCTGAGAAAGGAGGATTGCTTGAGCCTGGGAGTTCGAGACTGCAGTGAGCTATGATCACACCACTGTACCACAGCCTGGGTGACAGAGTGAGACCCTATCTTGAGGCGTGGGGAGGCAGAAGGAAAAAAGAGAGAGAGAAAGAGAGAGACCTTTGTGCTCATGCCTGGTAGCTCTGGCTGGACTGATCAGAGCTGAAGACTTCAGAGACCAAAAAGGTCAAGGTGTGGCTGGGTGCAGTGGCTCATGCCTGTGATCCCAGCGCTTTGGGAGGCCCAGGTGGGCATATCACCTGAGGTCAGGAGCTCGAGACCAGCCTGGCTAACATGGTGAAACCCCATCTCTACTAAAAATACAAAAAATTAGCCGGGCATAATGGCGGGCACCTGTAATCCCAGCTACTTGGGAGGCTGAGGCGGGAGAATCGCTGGAACCCAGGAGGCAGAGGTTGCAGTGAGCCAAGATCACGCCATTGCACTCCAGCCTGGGTGACAGAGCGAGACTCCGTCTCAAAAAAAAAGAAAGAAAAAAAAGTTAAGGTGTACGGCTGGGTCTTCATAACATCTTTCACCTTGCCCAGGCTGACTCAGAGCTGTCTGCCTTGGTAGATAGAATCCCTTCCACCATGGGCTAGCAGCCTACCCTGGCCACTGACACCACATCATGTAGGAAAGAATCGCCACCACCAAGAAGGGGCCTCTCACCTCTGTACAGGCTGTGTGCTGGCTGATGACTTGGCTGCCCTGTCCTGTCTGCTGCTGGCACTGAGCCGGACATCTCCAGGCTCCACCTCTTGAACCATGGATCCCAGCATTGTCAGCAATGAGTATTATGGTGTTGCCCATGGATGCACAAGATCCAGTGGGACCCCACTTCCCTGCAGGACATCACTGCTGTCCTGGGTACGGAAGCATATACTGAGGAAGACAAATCAATAGTGTCCCATGCACAGAAAAGCCAGCATTCTTGGCTCAGCCATTCCAGGTGGCTGAGGTCTCCACAGGTCACATGGGGAAGCTGGGACCTCCAAATAAGACCATCCAAGGGGCCGGGCGTGGTGACTCACGCCTGTAATCCCGGCACTTTGGGAGGCCGAGGCTGGCAGATCACGAGGTCAGGAGATTGAGACCATCCTGGCTAACACGGTGAAACCCCGTCTCTACTGAAAATACAAAAAATTAGCCGGGCGTGGTGGCGGGCACCTGTAGTCCCAGCTACTTGGAGGCTGAGGCAGGAGAATGGTATGAACCTGGGAGGTGGAGCTTGCAGTGAGCTGAGATCACGCCACTGCACTCCAGCCTGGGTGACAGAGCGAGACTCTGTCTCAAAAAAAAAACAAAAAAGACCATCCAAGGACTCCAGCAGTTTCTGCCAGGTGAACCCAGCCGTCTCCCAGAACAGACCTTCTATGGGGTGGGATTCTAAGTTGCTGGAAGGACGTGCATGGGGCATAATTTTAGCAAACTTAGTCCCCCTCCTCCATCTCTCCCTCTCCTCTCTCTCAATCCAGGGAGCTCTAGTTTTGTGAGAGCCTCAGTTGAAACCATTGTGTTCTGTCTGAAGAATATTTAAAGTTTCCAATCAAGTGTACATCCCTCAAAAAAACAAAGTGGGCTTGGTATGGTGACTCACACCTGTAATCCCAGCTCTTTGAGAGGCCAAGGCAGAAGGACCACTTGAAACCTGGAGTTCCAGACCAGCCTCGGCAACACCGCGAGACCCCAAACTCGCTATATATCTATACATAAAATAAAATTTAAAAAACAAGGTGTAGGGACAGGGTAGGCAATCGGTAAATGTTGGCTGGGACCCTCCTTGCCCCTCACCCATGGCAGCTCCTTGAAGAGAGGTCCTGCCTTCTCTCACCCCTAACCTCCCACTGCAAGGAGGTGGTGACCTGGGGCGTCATCTGTGCTCCTTGCACTTTCTGGGGCTGGGGTCCCAGCACTCCACCAGAGGACCTTTCCTGAGCAGGCAGCTCCCTCTCCAGTCTCACTGTGCCACCCGGGGTGCCTGGCCAAACCATGGGACTTTCAGGCTTGCAGGATCAGGATGTGGCCACCAGGGGGCAGCAGAGCCTCTGCTGTGAGTGTCCGAGGGAGTGTTGGGGCGGGGGATTCCAGGCTCGGATGTGAGATCTAACTCCCAAAGCTGGGAAGCTCCCTATATTTCCTGCCATATTTTCTGCTGCATTCCCAGAGGACAGACCGTGGGAGGTGATTCCAGGGGGACCTGAGCTCTCCTCCCAAGGCCGTCTGGGGCATCTATGTACCGGGTGGCTGCTTGTGGGCTGCTCCAGTCACTCTTCCTCTAGGGCAGGGGAGCCAGAGCTGCAGATTCTGGCCTCTGAGTGCTCACCGGCACCGGCTGGTGTTTATTTGCCAGGGATTGATATTCTTGAGGGATGATCCATTTCACTAGGGCCAGGAAAACAACAGCTTGCAGGACTGTGGTTTCCCAGCACCGGCTGCAGGCAGCCTGGTCTGGCTGCTCCCAGGGCATGCCCCACCCTGTGCACGACTGCCTGCCATCCTTCCCCTGGGGGCAGCCTCCATCTCCCCCACCATGGTCACTGCAGGACTGACCCTGTACACCTGGTCCCCTGGGCCTCTTAGGATCATAGCCCTGTCTGTGGCAGCCTCAACCCTCCTACCTGGCACAACTCCCCCAACTCCTCGCAGAGGTGCTCTTCTCTCTCCCCTCCCAGTCTGGATGCTCAGAGTCAGCACCCCGAGTCCTTCTGCCTGTCCCCAAAGTCCTCAGCCTCAGGATGTGACCCCAGCTGAGCCCAGGCCAGCTCACAGAGTGCCCCGGGGCAGGAGGCAGCCCCCCAGAACCCCCATCCTGCCATCCTGCCTCTTCTCCTCACTTCCTGCTCCCCCAGGCGTAGACAGACCTGTGAACCTCACGCCACCCTCAGCTCGTCTCTCCTGAAGCTGAAGCCCCTGCCCAGCCCGACCCCTTCTCCTGCCTGCACGCCTTAGAGGACCCTGGTTTGCTCTACCAGCATCTACCCTAGCTCTTTCCCCGGTGTCTCCGCCCACCGATTCCTTCCTCCTCCTTCCCCCGCCCCACCCCCCTGCACTAATAGGCTCCGTGTCTCGGGAAGGATCCTGGGGCAAATAACCACTTGGAGAGCCAAGGGGTGAGAGGTGCAGCTGGCGATGCTGACAGAGAGCTGCGGGGACCCTCAGGAAAAGCCACAGGTGACCCAGGACTCAGGGCCCCAGAGCATGAGGCTTGAGGGAGGAGAGACAGGTAAGGCATCTTGAAGTACGGTGTGCTGGGGGCAATCAGGTGGGAAGGCAGAAGGGAACAGGAGGCAGGTTAGGGACCTAGAGGGTGGAGTAGGGGCCGAAGCTGAGAGTGAGTGAGCAGTGAGCCCCCAGGCTGCAGCAGGAAATGAAAAGCTGGAGTTCTACCTGAAAGAGATGTGCAGTGTGGTTTCAGGGGAACAGGGGCCAGAGTGGACGGTGCTCATCCTAGACCAGCCACTTACCCCTGTGGACTCAGTTTCCCCATCTGTGGACCTGGGCCATTCCAGCTTTAGTGGTGCTCACCTCTGAAGAGGGCCTCTTTAGCTTAGAAAAGAGGGGGCCCTAGCAATAGCCTCTCTTTAGAGGGGGACAGCTGTTGAGTGGTGCTATGCAGCCCTGGGGCCTCCACTGTGGGACTCCCAGAGAGGTCCCTGTGTGTGGCCGGCATCACCTGGGTCAGAATCGCCCAGATGCTGATGACAAGCACAGCTGCTGTGACCCCGCTTCAGACCCTCTGGCCCAGCCCGCCCAGAGGCGGCCCAGGAGCCTGCATCTCCACAAGTGCCCCCGTGATCCTGTTTCAGAGCCCCTCCTAGGCAGGGTGAGGACCCATGGGGAGCAGTGGTCTCTATGGCAGCAGGCCGTGCTGCCACGGACTTCCCATCAGTGGGGGAGCCGGGCCCACTGAGGGAGTGGGGTGAGGTGGGGTGGGGGTGAGGGTGGTCTTGTCAAGAATTCTCACAGCAACAGACAGTGCACTCAGCTGGGTCTGACTAGAGGGTCTGCACAGAGCAGGGCGACTAGAAAGACCCCAGGTCAGGGCGGGGCTGCTGCCCAGCCAGGTTAGAAATAGACCAGAGGCTCTGACTCTGCCCGTCCGCCCCTTCTAGCTGGCCAGCCACGAGTGACCCTGCTGCCCACACCCAACGGCAGTGGGCTGAGCCAGGAGTTTGAAAGCCACTGGCCAGAGATCCCAGAGAGGTCCCCGTGTGTAGCTGGCGTCATCCCTGTCATCTACTACAGTGTCCTGCTGGGCCTGGGGCTGCCTGGTGAGTGGGGAGCTGGGGTCTGGGGACTTGGGCTTGGCCAGAAATGGGGACCCTTCTTCAATGGGTGCCAGTCCTCTGTGTTGACCCCTGAGGCCCTGGATCGTAGACCCCTGGTCTTTCCTTGCCATTGTCAGGGTGTTCTGGGTCACTGGAGGGGAATAAAAGTAAAGGGCTAGGATTTGGGGTGCTCACAGCTAAACCCAAGTTTTCCCCAGCAGTGAGCACCCTCTTAGGATAACAAAATTCACATAGGAACTGGCTGAGCTCAGTACCAAGCTCCCTGTGCTGCCCATGCCTTCAGAGAGCAGAGCTGGGGGCAGAGGTAGGTGCACGGATATGGGAAGAATGGGTGGTCTCAGCCCTGGGGCTTTCCCCAAGTCTGATAGCTAAACCCATGCCTGTGTCCAGGGACGCCTCCACTCTGGAGGACACAGAAAACCTAAAAAGGACTTGAAGGACAATGCCATAGGACAGGTGGCTTCTCTTTTATTTATTTATTTCTTTATTTATTTTGAGATGGAGTCTCGCTCTGTCACCCAGGCTGGAGTGCAGTGGTGTGATCTCAGCTCACTGCAGCCTCCGCTTCCCAGGTTCAAGTGATTCTCCTGCCTCAGCCTCCCAAGTAGCTGGGATCATAGGCATGCACCACCATGCCTGGCTAATTTTTAATAGAGATGGGGTTTCTCCATGTTGGTCAGGCCGGTCTCGAACTCCTGACCTCAGGTGATCTGCTCACCTTGGCCTCCCAAAGTGCTGGGATTACAGGCGTGAGCCAGCACGCCCAGCCAGGACAGGTGGCTTCCGAGGACACCCTGCCATGTGCACTTACCTGTGTATAACTGGGGTACAGCCAGTGGCTTGCAGTGGATGGACAGGGCAGAGGTGGCCTGGGTTGCCTTCTGGGCAAAGTGGGGTTTCAGAAGGATCTGGAAGGAGAAAAAACAGAAGCCAGCACAGCCTCTGCACACGCAGATGGGGAGGGGCAATGGCGACACCTTGGAAAGCAGAGTCTGAACTCTCTTCTGATGCCTCTGCCTCTCCCCTCCCCGACCTCGGCTGCCACCAGTCAGCCTCCTGACCGCAGTGGCCCTGGGCCGCCTTGCCACCAGGACCAGGAAGCCCTCCTACTACTACCTTCTGGCACTCACGGCCTCGGATATCATCATCCAGGTGGTCATCGTGTTCGCGGGCTTCCTCCTGCAGGGAGCCTTGCTGGCCCGCCAGGTGCCCCAGGTTGTGGTGCGCATGGCCAACATCCTGGAGTTTGCTGCCAACCACGCCTCAGTCTGGATCGCCATCCTGCTCACAGTTGACCGCTACACTGCCCTGTGCCACCCCCTGCACCATCGGGCCGCCTCGTCCCCAGGCCGGACCCGCCGGGCCATTGCTGCTGTCCTGAGTGCTGCCCTGTTGACCGGCATCCCCTTCTACTGGTGGCTGGACGTGTGGAGAGATGCCGACTCACCCAGCACTCTGGACGAGGTCCTCAAGTGGGCTCACTGTCTCACTGTCTATTTCATCCCTTGTGGTGTGTTCCTGGTCACCAACTCGGCCATCATCCACCGTCTACGGAGGAGGGGCCAGAGTGGGCTGCAGCCCCGGGTGGGCAAGAGCACAGCCATCCTCTTGGGCATCACCACACTGTTCACCCTCCTGTGGGCACCCCGGGTCTTTGTCATGCTCTACCACATGTATGTGGCCCCTGTCCACCGGGACTGGAGGGTCCACCTGGCCTTGGATGTGGCCAACATGGTGGCCATGCTCAACACGGCAGTCAACTTTGGCCTCTACTGCTTTGTCAGCAAGACTTTCCGGGCCACTGTCCGACAGGTCATCCACGATGCCTACCTGCCCTGCACTTTGGCATCACAACCAGAGGGCATGGCGGCAAAGCCTGTGATAGAGCCTCCGGGACTCCCCAAAGGGGCAGAAGTGTAGAGAAAGGGGCCCAGCTGGGGAGCTCAGGGTGGCTCATGGCCACATGTACTGGGGCCTTTGAGGTTGTGCTCAAAAAACGTTTATCAACACCTTGCTTTCCTTGGGTGGGGGTGAGGCTACTCGTTTGGGTGTGGCTCCAGGTAGAGAGGAGGACAACTTAACCAACGCTCACATTTGCTTCACCAGCAATCCCTATTTCCTGGGAAGATGAAAGGGCACTGCCAGGAACAGGCTAATAACATCAGTGCTGTGGGCATTCCTTTGAGGGGGGCATTTTGCCTGGCTCATCATGAATGCAGATAAATGTTGGTTGAACGGATGGAAAAATGGACAGAAGGATGGATGGATGGATGGATGGATGGATGGATGGATGGATGGATGGATG